GCTGCGCGGTCGGGCAAGCGAAGCTCCGATCGTCAGCGTAAAGCCCATGTGCACAAGTAGGAAACTGACTCTGAAGCGCAAAAGCCGCAGGCAGCAGGACGGCGGTCATGGCCAGCATGGCCCCTGCGGTAGGGAGGCACGCACCAGATCAGGTTGCGGCGCTGTCTGCGACAAGTACTGCATGTGTCTGATCTGCTGAGTCCACACTTGGCGCAGAAGTTGCACTTGCCCTGTGGGCATCCCAAAGTGAGTTAACACGCGACAGGCCAGCAAGGGATCCGATCTGTCGAAAGGTTTTTCGAGATCGAGAGTCCCAATGAACCATCCTTCATCAGCTTTGCTCATGAGCGGTGCAATGGCGTCCATGACGCCAGTGCGCGGCTTGCCACCAAACACACAGTCCGGTAGAAAGCCAAGCCACTGTTGCACTGCATTTTGGCTAAAGCGTGCCTTGCAGATCACTCTCCACCAAATGCTACCAATGCTGATCGGGCGCACTACCATCGTTTTGCTTGGGCTTGCCTTTGCGCCATCCTGCATCATGCGCTCCTTCCATTTGGCAAGCTGTTGTCTGTTTGCGTCTTCACGACAAGCGTGGAGGCTCGTGTTGAGTGTCCGAATGTTTTCAAACACGCTCTTGCTTGTGTCAACACGCGGGCTCCTGGCACATCTTTGGCAAAGCCGCCTGGCTTCCTTTGTTTCTTGCGAGCGAAGCACCCGGTCTGTTGTAGTGAGCTTGTGATACTCAGTCAAACGACGCAGTGCTTTGTGCAGGCACCTTTCACGAAAGGAGGTGGCATCCCTGCATAACAGGCTTGCTAGGCCGGGAGTCGCTCCCACTCGGCATCAACCCCATCATTGAGGCTGCTCTCAACATACGTTGCCGCCCATTGGCGTTGGAACTCAGCGTCCCAACCGTCACGCGGGACTTCCGCCAAAGGCTTCGTGACGAGTCGCGGCACCGGTGAGCACTCAAAGGCAGGGGCTCTAGGCCCACTCATGTCAAGAGGTTGAGCTACTATTTTATGATCGGCAACTTTCCATTGCAGTGCATCAGGGCATGGCAACCGAGTCGAGCTAAGGAAGTAATCTAAGCACCGGTTGCCCTCCCAGCGGGTCGGGCAGTCAGGGTGCGAGGCAACACACCCGAGGGTCTCAAGGGTACGAATCAGCACGTTTTCACTGGGCGTGGCATTAAAGTCGCCCCCAAGGAGCCATGACGGTCTATGAGGGATGGACAGCATCTCCGTGACTGCGTCCGCCACAGGCTGTGCTTCAACGTGGGGTGCAAGGTAAACGGAGCAAATCAAGCGCCCCGCTACCCAGCCAGCAAGGGCTGCCCCGCCTCGTTCACAACATTGCCATGCGAGCCTTGACGGGATGTCCTGTCGGACCATCACAGCGGCACCACCATGATATCTCTGCGCGTTGCGGTGTGCCCCACTGTAGTAGCCGGCGTAGTGAAGGCGTTGCAGGTGCATCAAGAACGCGCTCCACTCAGCAGGCTGGAAGCAAACCTCCTGCGCTAAGACTACTTCAGGCTTTTCACTGGCCACATCTGTTTTGCACCACCACTGTTGCAAGTCCAAACGGCACTGGCGCTGTTTTGCCGACACCGGCGTCTGGCACGTGGGCCAGGCAGCCTCACCCACACGGACGGCACGGTATCCACCTAGACGCCTCTTGCTGGCTTTAGCGGGCTCAGCGTCAGCACCCTGGGTCCGCTTGGCTTCACGCTTTCTCTTCCTGGCATCATTGGACTGAAAGTGTCGATCGGTTTGCGTGCGCTCTCGCAAAAGCTGGGGCATTGCTTTCCGACTGCCGGCCACCTGGGCTTTGCTTTTATGGCGTCAACTTCTAACCGAAAGCAGTCAACCACCATCTGAAGGTTGCAAGGCTTCCAGGTGACGGCCATGCGAATCCACTCAGTCATGGCAGGCGTCAGCGCTTTGACGGTGTCCGCACAGAAGGAGTTCCTTTGCGCCTGCATTGGGCACAGACCACCATGGAAGGCGCCTTGTGCCTCTATAAGTTGCCTCACTCACTCACTCACCCACTCACTCACTCACTCACTCACTCACTCACTCACTCACTCACTCACTCACTCACTCACTCACTCACTCACTCACTCACTCACTCACTCACTCACTCACTCACTCACTCACTCACTCACTCACTCACTCACTCACTCACTCACTCACTCACTCACTCACTCACTCACTCACTCACTCACTCACTCACTCACTCACTCACTCACTCACTCACTCACTCACTCACTCACTCACTCACACTCACTCACTCACTCACTCACTCACTCACTCACTCACTCACTCACTCACTCACTCACTCACTCACTCACTCACTCACTCACTCACTCACTCACTCACTCACTCACTCACTCACTCACTCACTCACTCACTCACTCACTCACTCACTCACTCACTCACTCACTCACTCACTCACTCACTCACACTCACTCACTCACTCACTCACTCACTCACTCACTCACTCACTCACTCACTCACTCACTCACTCACTCACTCACTCACTCACTCACTCACTCACTCACTCACTCACTCACTCACTCACTCACTCACTCACTCACTCACTCACTCACTCACTCACTCACTCACTCACTCACTCACTCACTCACTCACTCACTCACTCACTCACTCACTCACTCACTCACTCACTCACTCACTCACTCACTCACTCACTCACTCACTCACTGACTTGTTACTCATGGTGGTAACCTGGTAAATGGAAAAATAGACCAAAGCCTGCAGTCCCTTCATCCTCGAATTTTGACCCATGCCCATTGCGAGTTAGGTGGAAAGCTCGAACTCGCGGATTTCTCGCAACTCCTTTTCAAGCCAAAAATGGGAAAACATGAAAAACAGATCTCTTGTTGGCTGTGGCTCGAAATGATATACTCCAAATTGCACCGCAAATGGAAATAAACACTGAAACCTGCGTAACCCCAGCTCTTAACTTTTGAGCCACACCCTACTCAGCTGCCCCAACGCTTGGGAAATACCAGGCGAACGTTTTGGAACCTACAATGTCATGCCCCCTTGCCCGACCTTCCCATGTGGCTAGCCACCATTCCACCCCACCTCAAATGCTTAAAAATCCAAGAAGAACTACAGCCGCTGCCTTGCACAACTGCATAAAGCCTTTTTCAATCTTTTTCCCCGTGTCCTCTTGCCATCTCTTGCCCCAAGCTGCCCCAGCGGCGCAAAGGTCCGAGGCAAGGCTCCGTGCCCAAAATTGCACCCACAGAACAAGCCATGCCTTTGCTCTCCGCTCAAACAGGCACGGATTGGCTCAGACAATTGAAAATCATGAAGCCAATAGAAAAATAAAACGATATCAAACATGGTCAAACGCAGTCACATGCCTCACCCCTTGCGTCGCTTTGCGCCAAGCAAGTGACAAGTTTTGCTGAAGCCCCGAATCTCTCAGGCGGACTGAGAAGACTGCCCGATGCAATTCGATGCAGTATCGGCGCATCCGCGCCAGATACAAGTCCAAGCAGGGAGTGCTGAGCTTGGGGGCTACTTCGTGCTACTCCTCCGTGTTTGCAAGCTTCGCCCTAGATGTGGGCTTCTGGTGTCTTCATATCTGTGATTTCTGTTCATGTGTCTTCATCAGATCTTCGCTGCTAGGTGCTGCTAGAAGCATCTACCCATATCTACCCTTGGCTGGGCTTGGACCTTCCCAACACGCAAGCCCAATTCAAGCCCCTCAACATACGTGTTCCGATCCACATGCACCACGGCCAGAAGTAATCCTACCGGCAGCAAGGGCCCAAGCCGCTCGGGACAGTGCTTACACCTTCCACATGGTGGGAGCCACGAGGCTGAATCTTTGGCCAGGACAATGGCTGGTGGACTCAACCCCACCGACCTTGGATCCGGTTCTCAAGGACTGCCAACACAAGCGAAGCGGCAACAAGCGCGGCCGCTATGCCCAGTGCGAAGACTGCCAGACCAAGTGGACCTGGGACGACAGTTTCAAGAAACGGGTCCTCTTTCACCATTGCTTTGATCATTGCGGCGGCGGCTTCGAAGGAGCATGGAGCTTGAGAGGCCACTCCAGCGATCCCCAAATCCGTAATTCAGTGGATCTTGGAGAACGCCACGGGAGCAGCAGCGGCTTCATGCCTCGAGCGGCACGACGTGGAGCCTCCTCAACAAGGAGGTGTTGTTGCGGAGGAGACTGGGACGACAACGCCATCTGACCGAAGCATGGACGAATTCAGCCCAGGTCCTGCAAGTCGAGAGAAACATATACGAACAGCTCACTACAGGTTCGGATGGGACCTCTACTGCCCGGAAGAGCGCAAGTTCAGGGCGGCGCCTGCTGCAGTCAAACCACTCATGGTCATCATAGGATTTCCTTGCACCCACTACAGCCTCTTCAACGAGAACCTCAACTACGCCCATTGCCCGGAGGAGCTTTTGAGCGTCTCCGAGAACAAGATCAAGATCTCGTGGACTTCGCCTACGATGTCTGCGTGCAACAGATCGAGGGCAACTGGTTCTTCTTGGAGAACCCATTCAGATCAAGGCTCTATGGGAGCAGGAGAAGATGCAGAAATTGCTCAAGTACCTGGAGCCGGCCCTACGACTATCGACTAAGCGCTTCAAGCTCATGAGCAACAGCCAACCCCATCTTGAAGCCCTTGTACAACGACTGACCCCCAAGCAGAAGCAATACTGCCAGCCAGTCTGTGAAGCGACCGCATCGTTTTGCTGACGCCCCACCACGTCTTGGTGCAACGGCCTGTCGTGGGAGCCGATCCTGGATGAGATCAGTTCCCAGGCTGAACCAGACCCTTCCTTATCGGCATTTTTCATGTGCTAGCTGTACGAGGATGCGAACGCCACAGGCCCAGGCCCTCTTCTACGACCAGCACACACGTTGGACAACTTGGCGATGAAGTTCAGATCAACAACTTCTACATACGCACCTTGGACGGAGTGAATGACTGCATCATGGGCGGCCAAGAGCCCCGCTCCACGCTTGAGGCGCTGAAGACTATGTGGCTACGTCCTTTCGGACTGCGAATTCGGGCCCGGGCGGATTTGGATGGCGTCAAGGCAACTTCTATCATTGCCTCGCCGAACACGGAGTGGAAGTAAGCTACTGCCCAGCAGAAGGGCGTTGGCAGATCGGAGGCATCGAGCGATGCAATGCAGTTCTGAGGACGATCACCGAGCACTTGGTCGACCAATTCGCCGTCGTGAACGCGGAGGAACTTGACGATGCGCTACTAGTTCCGCGACTCACCGGCCTTTTCAACAGAGCTTCTCCCGAAGCAATCCGCCACATCCACGACGTCGCTGATGAGGAAGGCCATCCTGAGAAAACCAGGCGGACATCTCTCCTGGAGACCGTTGCGCATTCTGGAGACGGCGGAAGATCCGCAGCCGAAGCCCCTGAAGGACAGCGTTGAAGCAGCTATGCCCTTGGCTGAGGTGGCTATGGCGCCACAACCACTTGCGCTTCGGCTACCAGAAGCACCTCAAGCTCTACCAGCAAGTCCAGATCAACGTCGACCGCCCGACCTACCAACACACGGTAGTGAACCCAAGCAGAATGCCAGTCCTCATGTTCTACCACCAATACCTGAAGGACAGCAGCAATTGGCCGCAGTGTCATCCTCATCGCGACAGGCAGCATCAGGACTCTCACGTGCCACACGGAGGAGTACCTTCACTGGCACCATCAAGCTCTTCCTCTTCAACATCAGCCGATGTGCTCCCACATTAGGAAGGCTCACTGAGCACAGGCGGCAACTTCGGCAACACCAACTACCGCTGGAAAAGGCTGGCTCGCCGACGCCAAGACAGCATTCCTTCAAGGGAAACAGCCAGCTGGTGAACGCGCGACTTCCTCCACAACACCAAGAGCACGGGCATCACCATGAAGGGCACCCCCATCAACCGCGGGTCCAGCACACCGTGTGGGCCAGAGACTTCCATCCAAGCAGGTGACGGATGCAAAGAGCTTGTACGAGAACCCCAGGTTGACATCAGGGCAATTCAAGAGTCAGTTAAGCCGGAGCAGATGCATTGGATCCCGACCACGATCATGTGGGCGGATGGTTTGACGAAATCCGACCCCAAGCTCCGTGAGACTCTCTTGCGTTGCGCCGTGCCTGGCTTGACCTTTGCACGAGTGAATGCATGGCCTCCGAATGAGCATGGCCCCTTTTGCATCTCGGCTCTCACCAAGGGGGGCCCGCTTGAGTATCATTTTCCTTTCCACCCACTTGTGCGCCTGCGGCCACTTGCGACTTTGAGAAGAAGCGCCGACTTTGAGACCTGCCGTTGAAAAGTCGGCAGCGAGTGTGTGTCGAGAGCTATAAAGAGCCAAAGGGCACTCAGTCCCCATTTTGAGACGGTTTCATGTATGCCTTTTCGGGGCCCTTTTGTGACCCACCGTTGGAAGGAAAAATGACAGGTGCCAAGGTCCAGAATTGGCATCCTTTCTTTTTGACCAGCACCTGCTTTGGGCCTAATTCCCGCCTAGCCGTTTCGAACACGCTGTTCCAGACCAGATTGCGTGCCCTGTTTTGCTTTGGGACAGGCTGTTCTTGTAGAATGCCTCAGGCCTGGAGGCCGCGTGGGCCACGCGCTTAGGAGACGCGCAAGAACATGTCCGACTTCGAGCGCTTCAAGGCCCCTAGTGAGAGCCATGGGAGGCCTTGTCCCCAGAACTCCAGTGGTGCCCTTTCTCCTTCATTCTTTTTGCGTGGGGTTTCCTTCGCAATCTCTGGTTTAGGGCAACCCTAAAGCAATTTCCAAGAGATGACGTGCCGGAAGTTACGGGAATTTCTTTGAAGTTCGCGGTGCCCGTCATGCTGCAACTGACAAGCCACGGAGAGCGGATTTGCGCTTAATTTTAAGGATGTGGTCTGTCCCAAAATAGGGGACCCCTTTTGGACGGTTGTTGCAGAGCACCAAAATGCAATCATCTACCTAGAGCGCCTTCTTCAAAGAAGCAAACTCAATGAGTGAATGAGACATGTTCAGATGAACAAAAACCAGGCTCCTGGATTTTCGTCTCGGTGCTTGGAGCCACCCTGCCGGACTCGCCAGGTGATGTGCGCAAAGCAGAAGCGCTCCAAGGAGGTGAAGAAGGCCGGGGCCAACTTCACCAACGAGCACGCAAGCGCGCACGCTTGAGAGGGTAACTGGATCAGGCCCTGAAGAAGAAGTGAGCTCGGAGGCGGGAGGGTTTGGGGGACGAAGGAGGCTTGAAGACGGATTTGTTCTCCCTCAACCCAGACCCGGGTTTGTTGGTTGGAGGGACCGGCAGCACCACTGAGAAATCAATTGAGGCTCAACAGTGCTCACCTTTTGCCCGGGGAGGACAAATCCAGCTTAGCGGGAGCAATGGAACGCATGTTTCATCTTCCATCATTAAGGAATGCCCTGAAATGGTTGGTGTATCGCGTGTTCCTCTAGTCCAAATGGCATTTTATATATCGTTTTCCTAAGACAGTCCTAACAATTTGAGGAAAAACAACTTTCAGCTTTCAGTGAGCCTCACTCCCCAAGGCGGTTTTTGCCTGCCCCAGATCTGTTTGGGTCAGAGGCAAATGCCGCGCCAAGGAAGCGACTGCTGTGTTCCTGAATTTGTGGGGCTCTTTCAAAGCCTTCCGTTCGCCATCTGTTTTCGGTTCGCGGGTTGTGCCTTTTGTGGACTATTGCACGTATGGGTTTTGCGCGGCTTTTGTGGGTGGTTTTCTGATCTGAATAGTGAATGGTTGTTTGGGGCTTAGGTCGAGGGTTTGAGGGTTGGTAAGTCAGTTTCTTGGAGTGGTGAAGCAATGCCCAAGTTCCTGGCCTCTGTTTCGGGCATTGCAGGAAACACAGCAGGGTTCCTACTTCCTGAAATTGACAGCACGCCCTCTCTATGTTGGGCGGCTTTAAACATGATGTTTTGTGCCGATCTTGAGGTGAGTTTTGGGAAACATCTAGGGAATCCTGCATAGTCCAGAGCAACATGCAGAAGTGTGTGTGTGTGTGTGGCGCTTCCTTTCGAACCGCCCAGTGCTTTTTGGTTTTTCAGGGGGTGGGGGCGAGCCCCAAGGCAGATCGATCGTTCCAACAAAACTGAGGCTTGGTGGGGGTATTGAGCAGGGAGTATGGGGAGTTCGTATGAGAATGTGCCGCTGCCTTTCGTGCGCGGAAAGCGACCATTGGCCAAGCACCTTGGCCCCTTCATGTCCCTAGCACGGACTGGGCCACCCACAGAACGTAACAACATAATTTCTGCATGATGATAGCGGCTGCAACAGGTTTGTACTACCAGCTCGGTGCAGGACGACACATGTTCACTAGAAATTCCCCCCTACTTGTTGCCACTGTTGGGCCTGGACTTCTGGGGCTTTTGGACAAGCGCCCTTGCCCAGGTGCTATGCGATGTGAGGGGGCTTGGGACGAAAGCTGCGGTGCTCGAAGAAAACCGGCTGCCGTGGGTTGCCCTGGAACAGACGAGCGGTGCAGTTGGTTCTACGTGGATACAATGGACCTATACGCATCTTGATAACCATGCTGGTAGAACCAAACATCAAAGGGTTTTGGGCGCTGCTCTGACGGGATTGGGGATGGTCATCCGTCCTTTGATAGGGAAGTTAGAGCGAATGGCCGCCCGAACCACACATGCATCTGCAGTCTCTAAGGCCGTCACTCTGGTTATCTGGACTGTCACATGTCTTGTCTTGTCGCGCAGGGATGTCGGGAGGCTGCCATGAACAAAACCATCATAGCCAATCATAGCGAGAAAGTCTAATCGTTGGCTGAGTCCTCTTGTTTTTTGTTGGTTTCTGACCTTTGCCAAGCTTTCGGATCTAGGATTCTTGAGAGATGCAGCGGCACGGTACCGGCAGCTAAAGCATCGGACCATGTGCGTTGCGTGTTGAATTGGGGAACGTGCCCTTCAAGACGGCTCGTGCATTCGCAGAGCCACTTCAATTGAACAGCGTAGGTGGATGGGGCACGTTGCTGGGGCTCCCAACCGTTGGAGTCTTTTTTTTGCCTCTCAGACGTGATACTGTTATCGCCTTGAATTTGAAGCCCGAACTGTCCGGTTCTTCTTAGCCCTGACTAGAGAGAAGCAGTGGGTCCATTGCACTTGTCGCTTGTTGACAACTGACCACTTTCTCCTTCTTTCGCAGGACCACGCCATTGCCAATTGGCTGGAGTCTGAAGATGCCAAGTCCAGGCGCGGATGAAGTGACAGCCGCATCCATAGTTCCTGTAGTAAGCTCCTTTTTTGGTGTGTTCCCCAGATAGATGTGGACAAAATGATAGGACCTAGCTCCTGTACTGACTTGTGAGTATATGCCAAAGGGCGTGGATTCCAGCATCCATCATCAACCTTGAACACTGGTAGGAAAGGAGAACCGACCAGGAGTGAAACGAGAAATTATCTGCATGTCCACAAAGCACACATACACACACAAACCACATATATAAACAAGCCGCTCATCCAAACACATTAAGCCGCAAAACCGGGTGCATGAGAGCAAAAACCAACCCTCTGGTCTTCCTGCGAGCGCACCACTTGCAAAAGAAGCACCTGTGCCATTTGAATTTCCACCCCGTCGGAGAAGGGGAGTTTCTTTGGCATTCAATTCTCGGCAACCCACTTGCCGGCAAGGCTACATCATAAACGCGGAACCCTAAAAGTTTTAAACAGGAATCTCCTTTTTGCAGGGGAGCAAGGCAGGGAGCATGGCATCCCCCCCACGTCCAACTTCCGACTTGCAGGGTCGCCGCATGGGGCATGCGCACCACTCTGGATGAGCTAGTGGACGAGGGCGTGCAGGCCAGGGCAGTGAGGGAGCTGCTTGGCTGTTTGGCTGGCCTCATGAAGTGGCTGATCATCGTAGTAGACCCATTCAGCCAATTGACCTTCCATGGGGAAGTTGCCCAAGGTCGCGCATTTCCGCCCCCAAGCGCCCAACTCTTCTAGTTTCACAAGCCAGCCAGGCTCAGGCCAACGGCGTGCCTGGATTTGGTCCATGTTGCCAATCCCTGCCAAACATCTGCGCCTCGCGGTTTAAGACAACGCAGGCACTTCAAGGCTCTGACCCAGATGTCAGCTGGTTGGAGTCTGGGATGTTCATCCTGCTTGAAAACTAAACCAGCCAACTTTAGTCTTTGTCCCGTTTGTAGCCATGGACAGTTATGGACAGCTTGCTTTGCAAGCGCCTGCCAGCATCTTCAGCTGCGCGACTGGATCCGCAAGGAGTACTTTGCCGGCAGGCAGGGAATAGAAAGCATTCTACACATTCTTCCCTTTATTTTCCCTTTGTGATACTCTTTTGGTCATCTTCCAGTATACCAGACAGGAGTGGATCCACAAAAGCCGCATCCAAACCGTTTTCTGGAATGCCCACCTTGACGGTGGAGGGGCACAGCTCCACTTGGAGGTACGTTTCAAGCATTCGCGAGAACTCGGTCACTTCAGGCATGCAGGGTGATGGAGGAATTCAAGCAGAATTGAGCTGATCCCATGGCTGAAGAGGGCCTTAAGTTTTGGGAATTGGCAGAGTGGAACGGTTGACAGGTCGAGGGGAGGGATGGTGCTGAAGCCCCTTCGCCGCCATATGAAAAGTGCCTCAAGGTCCAGCTCAATGCCACTCCAGAACGCAGTGATGTCGTGATGGTTTCGCTTGAACACCTTGCCCAAAAGCGTCTGCAGTGTTTCGATGCATCGCTACATTGCCGAGCATTTCCAGGTTATCTCAGCGGTGAGTCGCCAGGCCAATGCTGCAGCTGCGCCTCATTCAGAGGCGTGGTGAGTTTCGGAAGAGAAAGATGGTGTTGCTCACATGTAAACTGACGTCGCCCTTGACTTGGGGACAGTGTCCCGTCTCTTTTAAAGCGACTTACGCACCTCATTCTCGAAAACTGCCCAGCTCCAAAGTACCTGGAAAGGTCCTAAGTGTGAAGAAAAAGCAAAGTGTTTGAAATGCTCGCGTTTTCACCGCCGCATTTAGAGGCTTCGAACCGCTAAGAACCTATTCCTCAACCCTTACTTGGAACATGTTTGAGAGTGTTAGGAGGGCCTGTAACATAGGGCTTGGAGGGTGCCGGAAATCTTGCATTCTGGTTCTGAGGTCCCACGCTTAGGATGCATTTTCTGTTGAGGGAAGTTTTAAAGCGGCTGTATTTGCCGGCTTTTCCATCTGACGTGCAAGATGAGCATGTTGATGCAGCATGGCTCCGGATTGTATGAATATGGGGCCTTGAATCATCAGAGGCTGGGCTTCATTCGGCCTTTTGTAAACGCTGGGGGCTTGAAAGCTGAACATGAAGCACATCGAACAAACTTAGTAGTTTGACGTGAAACACAATTTGGACGGCATTTGCTTGGGCTTTCAGCTACGTCTTGAGGCACTTTGGGGGGCTTCGGTACTTTACTTTTTTCAATTTAGATGGACATCCAATTCTGAATGCATTGCAAGGTGTCGAACACTGCGGGACTTGGCGATGCATGTCACGACCATGCTTCTTGGCTTGGGATTGAGCCAGGGTTGAGATTAGGGACTGGCCGAATCAAAGGTGCAGCACTATGCAAAAACTATGATTGACACCAAGGTGGAACACGCACTTCCTAATGAAGATGGCAAGCCAAAACAAGGATTGTTGCTGGTGCACGGAGTCTCCTAGGAAAGAGTGTCATGGTCACAACTCTTTGTGTTGCAGAAAAGATCATGAACCGGTGTAATGTTGACCTCTTTAAGAACAACATGGTACCCACCGTCAGGTTGGACAATTTTGTTTCAGCCACCAACCCACAGGTTCCTCCTAAGGAGAAGTCTAAATGAGGATGCTTAAATGACAGTGGTTGGAAGCCTGCGCTGATGGCACTCCAAGGTCCGACTGCTTCACCAAACGCCGGCAGAGGCAGAGGGCCGGGCAGCCCAGGCGCTTCTCGCCAGGCGGCTCTTGGTCAGCTGCTCCTGTCCAGAGCGAGCGATGCAAAGAAGCAGCTGACCACCACGAGGTTAGCCGCCATTTGGATCAGTCCTTTAGTTGATCAACGGATTAAGCCAACAGATGGCAACTTTAGAAACCACTACCCATGTTGCCAGGGGGTCCCTGTTTGGATCAGTTTCCGCTGCAAGGGACTCTTTGGTGGGTTCTATCCCTTTGTTTGGGGGATTGTGACAGCCGCTTCGGGCCATGCCCAAGATTTGAAGAGAAGCAGGTTGTGTAAGGTGAAAGCTTGGGTGCGCTCCATGACATATTCCAGGAAGGCGCTCCCTTTGGGTTGCCAAGGTCAATCCCCTCAATCTGAAGCCAGAAGAGAACAAGGAAATTCCCAGGATTTGATTTGTGGCTGGTTCGCTGCGAGTAATAGTTAGGGAACGACCACATGACGAAAAGTAGACCGAGGGTAAACCAAAGGGTACGTTCGCTTGGGACGACAGAGACCTGGACGCTAGCCTCCAGTGAATCAGATCCAGCCGACTCACCTTTTTAAGATCGGGGGTCGCAGATCCCTTAGGCGATGCGCCTTCTTTATTCAACCCTTTCTGTTCGGTTCCCCTTTTTGGTCTGCTTTTCGTCATGGCTCATGCGGCCCTTTTGCACTTTTCGGGGTACTTTTAGTCATTTAGTCATAGCAACCCCAAAGATAATCATCTTCCAGCACAATCATCAGATCCTCCTAGATTTGGATTGATGGCTTGGGGTTTTGAACCCCCTGCTTTTGTTGAGGGTCGCAGGGAAACTGCCCCCAAACCTGGAAACAAGTCTCCAAATCAAATAAGAGGAACTGACAGCAGTTGCCGGGACTGCCTCGTTTTGCTCGGGCCTCAGCCAGGAA